ATATCTGCGTTAAATACCGTGAATTTCACAAAGATAACCGAGCGGCTCCTATGAGTCATTCTTGCAGGTTTTCTTGCCATGTGCTTTCACAAACAACACCTTTATATACGAACACAGAAGCATAGCAGCCAAGAGTTGCTTTTATTCCAAGGTTCAACAGTTCACTTATATAGTAAACGACAACGATTTATATATAGGGGCGGTGGGGTAGCCTATTGGTTAAAGCGTTGGCTCGTCACGCCGAAGACCCGGGTTCGATTCCCCACATGGGCACAATGTGTTAAGCCCATTTCTGGTGTCCCCCGCCGTGATATTGCTGGAATATTGCTAAAAGCGGCGTAAAACTAAACTCAGTCAGTCAGTCATTTATATATACTCAACAAAAAAAGTTAAGGACCACCCCAATATACAATTTTTAAGCATTATATGGATCATAATATGAACTACTAAATACTTTAATATTGAAATTTAGGGGGTCCTTTTTTGTTGAGTATTTATACACACTACCGCGGTTTTCAGTACACGTTTTAATTGTGCAACTTACGTATATGTACAAGAAGGGACATGCACGAATAGGGTCGGTGGGGTAGCCCGGTGGTTGAAGCGTTCGCTCGTCACGCCGAAGACCCAGGTTCGATTCCCCACATGGGTACAATGTGTGAGGCTCATTTCTGGTGTCCCCATCCGTGATTTTGCTGGAATATTTGTTGCTAAAGGCGGCGTAAAACCATACTCACTCATTTTTAGTGTAACCTTGTTCGGCGAATGATACAACTTCATAATCATAAAAAAACTTTACCAAAAGACCAATTCCAGCTTTTTTCAAAAGCGTTCGTTTATCAGTCACATTAAAATAACGGTACAGTATTATAACAGCTGCTGGGGCGGCGGGGTAGCCTAGTGCTTAAAGCGTTGGCTCGTCACGCCGAAGACGGCCGGGTTGGATTCCCCACATGGGTAGAATGCGTGAAGCCCATCTCTGGTGTCCCCCGTCATGATATTGCTGGAATATTGCAAAATGCGGCGTGAAAACATACTCACTCACTCACTCACTATAACAGCTGTTTACACTTTTGTGAAGGTATTTTTATTTGGACGTGATATACACCTCCAGGATACAGACCCGTGCCAGTTTTATTCGGACACTTGACGTCATTTCCATAGACTTACATGTTATTTCAGTGTAGCATAACTAACGTTCATGAGGTGAGTTTAGGATAGATCTTTGTAAAGTTTGACAGGCCAATTTGAACTCATCTCCGCTCTGCGCACATAATTTCGGTTATATTTTCCGACCACTATTTAACTAATGACATCACATTTATTAACTTACGTATGGTTCCACAATGCACAATCCCATAGGCCGCCATGTTAAAGGAGTTCACGGCACTGTACATATGTTGATTGTTGCCATTCGATAAATAAGCAACGGGAAATTAAACAGAAATTATGAGATTGTAGGTAAAATGATTCCTCACAAACTTGGATCATACGAAAATTAAATTCATGAAAATTATTTATGCTACACTAAATTAACATGTAAGCCTATGGAAGTTACGTCAAGTGTCCGAATATAACTGGCACGGGTCTGTACATGCCAACTCTCCCCGACATGGCTTTAACCCTTGGGCTAACCCACGGCCGAATATGACTTGTTATCAATGATCAGTTGTAACTTTCCGTATACAAACCCTAGAAGATCCGGGTTAAAATTGGTCTTCAGTAACCCATGCTAAGAGTAACACATGTCATCGTATCCCAACTGCGTAGATCGATGCTCATGCTGTTTATCACTGGATTGTCTGGTCCAGACTCGATTATTTACTGACCACCGCAATATAGCTGGAATGTTATTGCGTGAGACGTAAACAACAGCCACATATTCTGTATACATGCAGGCAGTTCTGAATCGATATTCGACTTATGTCCCTATACACGATATCTCGGCGTGCATCGACGTAGTACTGCACGTGCAAGGGTTCCACGGTGGCCCCTGTCGTTTAAAGGAGATGTATTGAACATAAACTTCTAACATAAACAGTTTATATATATATTGTTCAAACTGGTGATTTTATTGTTACATAAAAAGCAACAAACAACGGCTCTCATCCCACAACATGCGCGTATGCATATACCGTAATCCCAGCCTCGGCAGAGCTCGGACTGTGACGTCATAGGTTGACGTCTCCCATTGTTCCATTGTTTAGAGCGCATTCTACATGACAATGAAGTGATGCTTCCGTTGTTCTCCGTGTGTAGTAGATGAGAGATGGGGCACTGTGTTGCGAAGAGTTGTCCCAGTCCATATTTAAAAAAATTACGGGACCAACTGTCACTTCTTCAGACAACCAGACCGACTTAATAAGAGGACATTTTGGATACAGCAATGTTTTCAGTTCCTTGTATTTCTAGAGATCCATAAAAACTAAAGAACCTTGGTTACGAAAGAGCGATAGCACAAATGAGGACAGTTGCCGTGCCAACGAAGTTTGAAAACAAGAAGAAATCTGACGAACATGGGAAAGCCTCTCTGATTATATTCACAACACATGCAGGGTATACTTTTCTACAATCTGTAGGACATTGTCGGCAAAACAATCTTGAGAATCTCGCGTAAGCTCAGTATCTTTAAGCCCCCAAATCAATTATTTATTAATTTGTGCTCGATTTGTGAATTACTTTCTATGTAGACACAGGGACACTCACACCCACATCTACAGTAACACCTTAAATAGAAATTATGCCTGCGTATAGAAGATAGGGGTGGGTATTGCAGAGAATTTTCATATTGCGATATATTGCGATGCGAAAGCTTATATTGCGATACATTTCTGGTGTCCCCCGCCGTGATGTTGCTGGAATATTGCTAAAAGCGGCGTAAAACCAAACTCAGTCAGTTATATTGCGATATGTATTGCACTATATTGCAAGAAGTTTTTTTTAACAATTAACTACTAATGATCAAGTTAACTCTTTATTTATAAAGCTAAAACACAACAAAATCACTATGCTTCATTAAGCTTTAATATAAACTTTTAATCATGACAAAATAAGAATATAGATAATATTTAAATGTAATTTTCACCATGATCATTCCCACCACACTTGCCACAATCATCAAGGTTTCCAAGTGTTACGAAGTTTTCCGAATTGCAAGTCAAAATATCGGTTTTCTATCAGCGTATCGCAATACGTAACGTTTTCATGTCTGAACCGGTTAATACCGGTAAACCGGTTATATTGCGCAGCCCTACTAGAAGACTCCTCGTCCTTTCATGTTTTAATATTAGGGAGCCAGATTTAGTGGAAGTATGAAAAACATGAGGATTATAAAACAACTAGCCTAAATATAGTTCAATTTTCCCGAAGTAGAAAAGAATGTTATACGTTGTAAACTAGAAATTTGTCTTTCCGTAGTGATGTCAGATTGATCATCTCATTCGATAGATCTAGCTCGGTTTTCTTGCTGCTGTCAAGACTATTTCAACTAAGCACGGGCTCGTATGTGACTGTGAGTAAATTCAATATGTTCATCGGTGTTATTGTCTGGGACGCCATGGCGAAAGCTAGTTAGCTACGAAGTCAACTCTCCACTATGACGTCAGGCCACGTGATAACAACTGTGCTAATTAACTCCGGAACACGAGTTGTTTCCGGAACACGAGTAGTGTTTATTTGGCAACAACTGTTGACTTTATACAGACATTTCTTCGTCAAGATACTTATTTATATGTTCTCTATAATGGGTCTTACTGTACATCTTCTTCAAGGCCGCGCAACTTGAGGTGCGACGCTTTAAACAAAGGCAGCACACTATTTGACCAGTAGTTAGACGAAACTGACCACGTGGTTAATTTCCATATGCAAAGGACAAGGTATGATAAGGGTGGTTTTTGGCCCACAAACAGAATTGGCTGAACACATGTTATTTGTTTAGAGACAAGATTGCTTTGCATAAAAATGCTATTTTTTAGATGATCCGAGGCGTAATTTCAAAACAGAGGGGCCCAAAATGGGTTTTATCAGTTCCCATGAAGAATAACAAGAAGTCTGAAATATCAGTGTGCCATAATGACTTAGTTACAACTACCATTTTATTTACATACAAATAACATCAGTTTTACAACAGGTATTCATGATGAAAAACATGTCAACATCAATCACAAGGTTTTAACTTAAAGGGGCCCAATTAGGGTTGCAATACATTGTGGACAGTAATTCAATTACATGCCAGTTGTTTACCAAAACACTCATTATTCACAACTTTCTTTGCAAATATAAACTATAGGTCAATTTTACAACATGTACTAATGATAATCAATCACGTCGCACTAAAATCACAGGGGCCCGTTTTGGGTCTAATTACATTTTGGGCATAGCTTGATTTTAACAAAGTGTTAAAAGTCAGCATTTACAACTAGTTTTAGCAAATATACAGTAAACATCTAATTCACAACATGTTATTACAATTACCAGTCATGTTGCAATAAAAATCAATAGTCTTGACCTCAAAGGGGCCCATTCGAGGTGAAATTTCATTCTTGGCACAGCTTGATTTTTACACTAAGTAAGTGTCAAAAGTCAGTATTTACAACTATTCTTGCAAATATACAGTAAACATCTCATTCAGAACATGTTGCTACAATAACCAGTCATGTTGCACTAAAAATCACAAGTTTTGACCTCAAAGTGCCTATTTCAGGTGAAATTACATTCTTGGCACAGCTTGATTTTAACACCAAGTAAGTGTCAAAAGTCAGTATTTACAACTAGTTTTAGCATACAGTAAACATCTCATTCACAACATGTCGTTACAATAACCAGTCATGTTGCACTAAAAATAACAAGTTTTGACCTCAAAGGGGCCTATTTCAGGTGAAATTACATTCTTGGCACAGCTTGATTTTAACACCAAGTAAGTGTTAAAAGTCCGTATTCAAACATCTTAACAAAGCAATTATTTACAACTCATTCACTGCTAAGATATTAAACATACACTTTTACTCTTCACCCACAAGGTCATCAATCTCAGTTTCTGAATCACTGTCAAGAACTGCAGCATTCAAGAGCGCATCACTAGTGTTGCTGGAAACTGGCATTTTGTCTTGGTGTCTGCCATACCCAAGGTACCAAATGACACTTGCTATGTGTGCACAGCATCCAACAACTCTAGCACCCACTTTGCAAGTGCAGTACCATCCTGTCACCTTAACCTCAGTGAACTGAACCCACAAAGTGTGCAAGAGTGAGCCGACATGCCGAGACTGGATTTTCACTCGGATTAAATCATCCACTTCCTTACACAGGAAAAGCTGATAGGCATTGTCACTATCGACATGATTTGCAACATATGCTGGTGCCAACTTTAGTTGATAAACACCCATTGTTATATCCCTAAGTTCATCCAGTGAAAGCACTGGAAAGCTTACATCATCAGCTTCAGTTATTGGAATGTATACATTCCTCCTTCTAAGAAGGTTTTCTCTTTCAACCAGTTCTTTGACTGGGTTGCCCTGCCGACTCCTCTCTAGCATCAACGATGCAATTCTCTCACCTTCTGGATCATGAGATGCCAGTGCTGGCCGGTACTTGTTGCATAGCGCACACACAATACGCACAAAATCCCCGATATGGGGTACATAATGATTTGAAACAACTTTATCCAAAAATCGCCACTGCTTAATTCTTCCGTTGCACGATTCAACAACCCACCGCACTTTAGTAATTAGTCTTGATACATTAGCATCTTCTACTTCATGTTGTCTTTTCCCCTTTTCCAGGTAAGCTGGCATTTCTACATGAAAACCATGTTTTTCAAGAAAGGTTATTGAGTCTCTAAAGCCTCTATCCACAATGAAAACATCATCTGCTTCCAACCAATTGTTAATATCATCAGAATTTGTTGAAAGCATATGTTTAGTTATGGATGCATCATTATTCTTCCCATCAGCTGCATATGGACCAAGCACACTAAGAATATATCCATCGGTGCCAACTACCATATGGGTTTAACTAAAGGTCTATGCTTATGCATGCTGTAGGATAGCTTCTGAAATTGGTGGTCAGCCCCTTTCTGAATGTAGATATATGTCCCATCCAAAACAAGAATAGCAACATTGACTTTGTCATTGGTGAAAAGTTTTTTGGCAACTGGAGTGGTATGATTTTTCACAAACTCATCATGTTGAATATGCCCAAATCCTAAATTATTGGGTACAAAATGTAACATGAGACATTCCCTTGCACAATGAATTGCTCGCTGTACCTGTGACTTTGTAAGTTTAAACAAGGTACCAAGAAGGTTGTTCGACAGTTTGATATTATTTTCTGAAACAAATAAAGTTAACCTTATGTTCTATATACACAAAGGTCTTACACATTGTTGGATACAATAACGAAAATACCACGAGCTCAGGCCCTATTGTGTCGAGATTACACCAGCCATCATGAAACCGTTCCGTTGTTTACGGTTTTAAGTCGAATGTCGGGCCGAAAATAATAGTAAATCTTCACCTAGTATTAGTGTCATATTTTAAGATTATCTCAGTGCCGTGAACCATATTGAAATGAACGAAATGCGCTACTGTTAGAATCTTCTTTTCGACCAACGTAAGAGACTCAGTAATGATCCCGAAATTTATATTGGGTGTGGGATAATAAGCGATATAACAATCTCAGAAATAGTCCTTGAAATATATGTAAGGCGTGATTAGACCAACAGGCCGTGAATTATGCTGATCACAGGTCACGTAGTTCTTGGACGTCACGTAGTTCTTGGACGTGACCTATCAACCGTACCTTGGTGTGCTCACGCATAACGTTGCTTCGAGGCTAATTAATTTGTTAACATAAAGGACACTTTGAACTCTTGTACATCAAAAAGGGCATTGGCATGGAACCGAATATTAATGACCGCAAGTATTGTGTGTGATGCTGTGCTCCTGGACATATGCTGGGCACAGAGTTTCGACAACAGCATCCGTTTGCGGACAACTGGCATCTACCGTATTCGAGATACGGTATTAATTCGAGATATGGTATTAATTTCCCTATTCGAAATATTGGTGGAAATTGTGGCTGGGATGTGATAATCTCACTGAAACAGAATTATGAAAGATCAGCCGGCAATTTATTTTGAATCATCTCTTTAGAGACGTTACATGCAGCAGGGATACACTCATGACTTGCCCTTGGCCGATCGTCCAACCTGACAACCTCATTCGGTTGTTGCATCTACGGAATAAAGAAATGCCGCCTTAACAGTTCGGACGATTCCCGGGCAATCTAGTGCCAAGGTAACAAATGTCATATTTGGGATTACACTTTCTCGGTAAAGCACAGATTCTAGTACTGTTGTTGGGTTGAGTCCAATCTGGGATTCGAACCCACACCCTCAGTGTTATCCGAAATGTAACATTTGTTATATTTGACCACTTTTAAAATGGCATTGTGTATTCATAGCTTTCGGCCGTGGGAGCCGTGCCAGTTACACTTATCAGAGGGGTACACAAAGTCCGTGGTGTAGACTACCAGTTGTCCGACTTCCATTATCGTGGAAGCTGCGATGGCTGAGTGGGTTAGACGGCTGACTTTGTGTGCTGGCGATTAAGTAACTGGCATTGCGTATTCACATTTGTGGAAGAACCGTACACAGCGGACTGAGGGAGAACTTCATCCGCCATGATGTCAAGCAATGATGTCAATTTACTTCTGCCTCACGGCCAGGCACGGTTAGTTTCGTTAAGACGGAACTGGGACAGTACAGCTTCGCAACCTTGATTCATGGTATGGGGTTGACATCACATGAGTAAAACAGCTCATTGTTTATGGCAGTTTGAACCACGTACGCCGCTTTCAGCAATATTCCAGAATATCACGGCGGGGGGACACCAGAAATGGGCTTGGCATATTATACCCATGTGGGGAGTGGAACCCGGGTCTCTGGCGTGACGAGCGAACGCTTCAACAACCAGGCTACCCGATCGTCCCTTTACCCAACCCGGACGACCTCATCGAGACTAGCCCGCCTCCGTGGTGTAGTGGTTAGAGCGTCCGCCCGGAGAGCGGAAGATCGCGGGTTCGATCCCCAACCGCGTCATACCAAAAGGCGTTAAAATATGGTACTTGTTGGTCCCTGCCTGGCGCTCGGCATTAATGGGTACAACAAGGACTGGTCGGCTCGGAGTCAGTATAATGTGTCTGAGTGGGATATTCATGCTTCACTGCGGCATGGTATCTCAGTGAGCTAGCACTATAAAACCAGCTTAAGTCTGGGCTAGTACAAGCAGCCGCACATACACATACACACGCATGCACGTCGTCATATGAGCAAAATATTCTCAAGCACGACGTTGAACCCAATTTCACCTCACCTCACTTCATCGAGACTATGTAAAGTCATACTGCACCTCGTCCATTTGTTCTATGCTGGCATATAATGCTGCCTGCCTTGTCCGGGTGGCACTCCAGACCTCTCCCCACATCTAATAGTATATGGATTAAAGTTGGCCAGTCTTTTGTTCACATTTGGAAAATGCCCCAGGCTGTTTCCAGTCGTCTTTAAGGCGTCAACCTGCCTCGCCTGTATCAATATCAGCCGTAATGGTGTCCATCCCAATATTGAAAATATTGAATATATTTATTACACTACCTTTCTTCAAGATCGTGTCTCTTTGTCTCCTGTTTGAAGACAAAACATTAAGATCAGAAGGATGACCAAATATGATAATGTAAGTTTCAATGACATAATATACTCATGCCAATAATGGTTGTCACCCCCTCCCCCCCCCAACCCAACACACACCTCACCCCCACACCCACACCCCTCTCAATTAAAAAATTGAAGGGGAACCACGGGTATTTTGTCCTACTTATATTCTTATATTCTGGAATTTTTAATAACAATGTTTTAATTTGAAGCATACACTTATACGGGTTTTCCACTGGGCGAGAGGACGGTCACGAGGCCATGAAAGTGACATAAATCAGCGCATGAGACGTCAGCGCGTCTTACAAGAGACGAATACACTTACGGAGTAAAAAACATACATTCCTTTGGAAACCCATGAGAAATTCGTCAGTGGAATAAGAGACCGTTTTTTCCTATTCCTAAGAAGCTAGAAACTTTAATAGTGTACTCCGAGGTTTGACCTTCATTAAAGTTTTTGACAAAGTGCACATTCCAATGGACAAAACTTGAGCTTCGTTCGTAGATTGTAGCTTTACATATACACAAGGAAAAAAGTATTGCATCACCCCATATTTTTCATATCTTCAATACGAACAATAGAGCCAAATAATTTATTCAGAGGAGCAAACATGGTAAAATATTGACTCCCTTTGCAGTGCTGATACCTGTGGTACCAATCAGCCAATCAGTCGCTGCTCATCGTCCCAAATGCACGTCTGAAGACATACGGACATCGACGTTTTTTCTTACTTGTCAGCTATCCTCTGGAACAATCTGCATGAGTCTTTCAAAGAATCCCCCTCAATAGCCAGCGTCCAGTCTAACTTAAAAACTTTCCTGTTCAAGAAGCACTATAGCATCTAAATGAACTCCTGTTGTAAATATGTATATATGTCAGCGCCATGAGCAACCACTTGGTGATTGGATATAGGGCGCTATACAAATGGACTTATTATTATTATTATTAAGAAATCACAACAACCAACTACAAGTACCAACAACCGAGCAGAACGTCAATATCCGGCGTAACGTCCGTCAACGGCAATAAAATATATTCTGTTGTGTTATGCAGAGTTTCTGTGGCGCCAAACACGAACTTGGCTATCTGTCTTGAACAAAAGAAATCGAATTTCGACGAGTGGAACCTTCCCTATCACGTCAAATTCCAGTGACGTCGATCTTGACACCAAGCGCGTGCTGCTTTGCACTGGTTCCACTACACTATATCAGAATCACATGCTCCCTGAGCGAGCACCGTATGTAAACAACTGAAGAGACAGAGACATGTGAGAGCTGTGATTGGATGAAATAGTGTAAGATGTTTATGTTTTTTAAAAGCACATCCATCTAGTAATTAAAACTGACCTCAATTTTAAGTATTTAGTGCTGTACTATTTATGCTTATTGTGTGCACAGTTATTTTCCAGTAGGTGACATTTGGTCCGGAAATGGGGTTGATGTGTTCTGCTTCCTGTGCTTCGAAACTTAGCCGGACAAGTTAGCCAGGAATTGTGTTTTATTGTAGTTTAAAGGCCAAACTGTACCCATGTGTACATGGAAAGGCTGTTGATAGCCTGGATACTTTAAAAAAAATATAACGTTACTATAGAAGTCTATGGGAAAACATTTGGTGTTGTGTAACCTGCTCTGTGGATAACAGAGGACGTCTCGTTCTATAGCAGTCCGATTTTAGGCGATGTCGGACCGTTCTGCTTGACAAAGAAATGTCCGTATCGTCATCCGTCTGCTGATGTTTTCTGGCCATCCCCTGATAGACAACAGACATCTTTGGGCAGTTGTCATTCGAGGAGGTTCCATATCTGCTTGTCAACAACAAAGTCAACTGATTTTTCAAGAGCTGTAAGAACAGTTCACTGAAACTTGATATTTCCTTAATGACAGTTACACGTATAGCACGTGATGCTCGCCTTTGATTGCAGCACGTGGACAAAAAAATTAATGTATGGTGCGCCCGAAGGGCCGAAATAATCAAACAAAGATACCTAATTATGATATGAATATGAATGGCTACAAGGGGTTGAAAGCACAGGTGTTCAAAGGTTTTTTTCCGTTAATTGGCTATAAGTGATATCATAAGGCGTAACGTACCAACTTGTGTGCATACATCCTTCGAAGTTCCACATATTAATATTTCAACATTATTAGAATGGACTGACTGACAAGTAGTGTTGAGTTAATTAGAGCATGAACGAGGGCCTGAGATTCACAAGCCTCCAGGTTCATACAGTTTTGTCCTCAATTTGTATAGGTTCACACCCGAAAGACCTCACACAATGTAAACGAAAACTCTTC